TGTTCGAGAGTTTTATGCTGGCCCAAGATTAGGGACTGGGACAGACCTTGAAAGAGTCTGCTGTGTGAACCTGGGAGGCACCGTTGTGGAAGCAGAAAAGAGACTGAGGAAACCAGACTCTCACTCACAGTATGACTTCAAGGTACATTCTCATCCTCTCTAGAAGCCACTATCCTTGTTGGAGTGGAAATATGTGAGATAGAAACTTCAGAAAGTGACCATTTATCTGTGGAAATCTCCTGGATCTCTGGTAGCCTGTTCCTCTACAATGGCTTGGGGCTTCTACCACTCTGAGGAAGACAGCAGCCTCCAGCCCTTTGGGTGTGCAGCCCTTTGAAGAGGCTGGAATCATGTTGAATGATGGGAAGGGGCCTGGAGGAGCTGCTGGAGGTAAGGCACACCCACCATAGGAACATTTCTGGAAGCACAGCCTCAGGGACTCACAGGCACAGGCCCTGACCTGGGCATGCACAGCCTACAGGCCAAGCGTCTCTCTGACCTGACGCCCTCTCCAGACAAGGTCTCATGGGTCATGGTCACCCATCATGGTTCCCTGTGCCAACAGATCCTTCAGTCAGCCATGGAATGTGAACTTTGCCACAGGAAGATGATGACACTAATCAGACTGATTCAATTCTGTGTCAACCTGCTTCTCACAGCCCAACCATCTTCTCACCCTACTGAAGATGGCAGAATGACTATCTCCATCTTACAGACAAGGAAACTGAGGCTGGGAGGGAGAAGGCTGTGCAGAGGTCACTTATAGTCAGGCTCCCCTCATGGCACAGCATCTGCTCCCACCTGCAGTGCACTATTCCCATCAGCTCTGGCCTCAAGGTGCATGTGCTGGTCACCGCCTTGCCCTGGGCTCGGTGCTGCAGCTACTGTTGGTTTGGAGATGACAGTTTATGGCCTTAAAGGCTATAATGAAAGCCCAGCATCATTAAGAAAAGGGTCCATAGGGGTTAACCCTCAAATAGGTAAAACAGAAGGGAAAATCCGCATGGCTCAGAGAGACAAGCCTGCAGGTTCCCAGCAGCTGGGGTGCTGCAGAAGGCTGTGGTTTCATGGTCCGCAGCACAGCACAGAGTCAGGCTGTGGGGATGCTTCTAATCCTGCACTGCCTGGTTTGCCCAGTCTTGACTTTTCTCACTAATATCTCATCTGCCCCGGGGGCCTCTGGGAGCCTCCCTATCTAGAATCAGCCACAGTGTATTCCGACTGACAGACTCTGAGCTTTCTGTGCAATGGTTTTGGGGCTTGGTCCTCACCTATACCTACTCCCACTGCTTGAGTAAGTAACTGAATGTCATAGGGAGGGGGTGACCCATACCCCCCTTGGGAACTAAAACCCAGCTACAAAAGTCTGGCCACAGATGGAGTCTATGTGGTCTGTCGAGGCACACGGGGTCTGCACATTGCCTATTTCTTGTGTGCTCTCTGAGCCCCAAGTCCTCCTCTGCAAAAGGGTGTCTTTGCTTCCTGGTATTCTGTTGGGAAAAGATAACTCCAAAAGAGCCCCTTGCACCAGGCCTGGGGCTGCAAGTTCTCATCACTCCCACTACAGACCTCAGAGCAAGGGGCACACCTCCCCTCATTACCCAGGCACCCAGAAAGCTTTTGGTTCACCAACTCCCTATAGCTGACCCCCAACTACATTTGCGTTCCTTTCTTATCGTCACTCCAGAAAGTGGTCTTTAGCTGATATAGTCTGGGCCCATTGCCTTAGGATACAAGGGAAGGTGGATAGGGGACAATAGGGGGTCCAAAGTTTTGACCCATTAGGTGGGGTCCCAGGGGCCCACAAGGAGGCAGGAAACAAGTACAACTACATTTGTTTACTGACTTGACACATGAGAGGAAGAAATGGCCCATAGAGAGTGTTCCACAAAAAGTAAACTAAACTGGGAATCCAAGATGTCATAGTCTTTCCAGCTCTTATTCTACATTTAGACAGGAATAGCAGGGCCCATAGAGGCTTAGTAATTTGTCCAAGTTCGCACAGGATGTGTATATAGATCACTGCTTTTCTGGACAACTAACTTCTACATCAGACCCTGAAGTTGTAAAACTCTCCCCAGAGAACCCTGAGCCCGAGAGGCACTGTCTCAGAATGACAGTGCTAAAGACACAGGAAAAGACATGTCTCCTATCTTCACTGACAGACTGCTAAGGGAATGATGCATTTCCACAAAAATACCCACCCTGTGAGGTCTGAGCTGTGCATCTGTTTCTGGAATGTGCAAACAGAACCTGAGCAGTACCAGATACAAAGGTGGCCTCAGTGGCCTTTAACAGAAACTTACCCACTACATAGCTGTCAGGCAAATCCAACCTGCTTAGTCCCCCCCCCCCCACCTCCCTTCTACCAAGTCAAGCTCAGCCTCCTGGATCTGGTCTTCAGGGCCTCTAGACTTAGGCAGCCTCTGCTCAGGGAACTCCACAAAAGTAGGTCCTAGACATTATTCACCAGCTCGATATGGCCCACCAGGGAAGAGCTCATATTTGCTGCGCAAGTAGGTACATTACACGGATTACATGTGATCACTCTTGGATCCTTCATTAGCACTATAATTAGTCTCACTTTGCAGAGCAACAAATTAAGGTCAGAAAGATCAGGGGACAGGGGGTTTAGCTTAGCGGTGTAAGTACCTGCACTGGCAGGCACAAGGTCATGTTTGATCCCTGGTACAAAAAAAAAAAAAAGAATGCCAAGCATAATGGAACATCTATACTCCCAGAATTCTGGAAGGCTGAGGCAGGAGGACCAAAAGAAAGATCAAGCGACCTTCCAAAAGTCACACAATGTGACTACTGAGGGAGGGAAGAGATAAAGGAAGGGTGCCGAGAAGCTCCTGGCTTTTTAACCACAGGTCCCAGGAGACATCGGTAACGGGTGGGCATGCTTGATCGCTCAGATGTTTCCAACTCTTAGGGAGCCCCATCCGGGCACTAAGTAAGGTGGAACCCCATGAACCAACTAACCACAGCCAGTACAGCTTCTGCACTGGAGGGGGGCTGCCCAGCCCCAGCCCGCCCTAGCAGCAGCCCCGCCCCTGGCCAGTGACAGCCCAGTAAGTTCTGCTTGATGGCAGCTCCAGGAAGAGTGAGGCAGTGCTCAGCCAGCCCAACCTGGTTGGGGTAAAAAGCCAGAGAGAAGAGCCTGAGACAGTCTCAATTTGATTTAGCTGTACTGTGTTCACAGTGCACTTTCACAGACATTTGTCCTGTTGGTAAATACCTGGAAAAGGAAGCCCCCAGGAATAGATGAAGTATTCTCCCAGTCTGTGCAATAAAGCCATTATAGCATTTACCCACAATCCCCAGGGGCAGGCCACCAACCTGAACCAAATATGCTAGTCCTGATACCAACCTGAAGCAGCAGCTATACTGCCTTTCCCAGTTTCCCTCAGAGTGAAAACCAAGTTCCATTTGTCCAGATAGGACTAGAAACTGATTAGGCTGGTATAGACCATCTTGCAAGCACAGATCTGAGGGCATGGTGGTTGGAAGGCAGGGAAAGGATGGATACCCTTCCCAAGCTTTGATGGACCCCTTACCGTAACTTTGTACCGATCCCCTCTGGGCAGCTCAGGAAGGCTTCCCTGGCCTGTGAAGCTCCGTCAGACCCTGGGGCCCTTTGATGTCAGGTGTGTCCTCTCTGGGCTAACCCCATCTGCCCAGGTAGACTGGAGGTCATTCCCAGAGTAGACTGGAGGTCAGGAAGAAAGGGTACCAGCTGTCTGTATGTCAGAGAGCCCAGCTCTATGTCCAGTTTTATCCTGATTTGCCACAAGGCACTGGGTGGTCACTTTCACAGCTGTAAGCTGGGACCCCAGCACTGAGTTACTCGACGCTGGTAACATCAGGGAAGAGAACATATTGAAAGAGGAATCTACCCTCGGAACCAAGGCCCAGAGCTGGGAAGACATTCCTTTCCCAGGTACCCCTATCATAAGGTCACACACAGTAGAACAGTACCAGTGCTTTGTCATGAGCAGGCTTCTAAAAAAGGGACTGGCTTTGGAAAGAACTGCTCCAAATCCTGACGGAAAAGCCAATAGAGTCATCCCACTTTTGGACAGCACTTTACAAAGCCAGACAAGAGGGCGCCCCGACTTGGCAGGATTTGGCATTGTGGACAGATCAGCCTAACTCTCTGCCTCTTACAAGCTATGTGACTTTAGCTATATCATTTAACTGTCCTGCGCCCTAGGTTCCCAACAATAAATGGGGATCTAACCAATTGATTTTTACTTGTATTTACTGCCCCACCCCCACTACCCCCAGCCTTAGATTCTACAAGGGAAAAACGGAGGACTTTAACAGTCCGGGAGATGATAAGGGAGGAATGGCTACTGTGCGGGGAACCCCCTCCGCGGCCGCCCCAGGGCCAATGAAGGGTCATTTCCTTCCGCCTTTGGTGGCCGCCAGTCACCTCTCAGGCCCCTCTCCGCCTAAGTGCGGCGGCGCCGGCCGCAGGGAAATCGGGGCAGGCAGGATTTCCTCTCGGGACCTGCGCTCCGAGCCCCACCCCTCCCCTCGCGGGGCCCCAGCTGCACGTGCCGCTGCCCCGGGGCCCCGCTCCCCCTGCGCAGGCTTTGCGGTCTTCTCCCTCCCGCCCTTTCGGCCGGTCCGTTTCGCCTTGCTCCTTCTCAGCCCGGATTCCGCCGAACGGAAGATGCTTTGCCCCACTCTCGCACGGCCACTTGGCGAGAAACAGAGTCACCCGCGAGCGCAGGGAGCCGGCGCTAGGACCCCACGGCCCAGGCCCCTCGGGGCGTGGCGGCGGCGAGCGGGAGAGGTATTTAAACTCGGCGGCGCCGCCCCCTCGCGGCCGGCTCCGGTGGGGCGGTGCATCGGCCGATCCTCCGCGGGCCGTGACCCAGGCTGGCACGGGTGGGACTGAGGTCAGGTTTGCGCAAAATGTACCGAGGCTGCCCGGGAGAGGAGCGGCGGCTGCGCTGAGCCAGGTAGGGGTCCCCCGCGGGGGAGGCTGGCTGGCGCCTGGGGACCCACCGTCCCGCGCCCTCGGGAGCCCAGCCTCGCTGCGATGGTCCCTTAACGCCCGTGACGCCCTCCAAGCGCACTCCTTAGCGCACGGAGCGGGCTTAACCCTCCGTCGGCCCCTGAGAAATCGGCGGGTTTCTGTGTCAGTGGATCTTTCCCACGAAAGGGTGAGGCCGGCGATCCCATTTGACAGATGGGAAGTTAGTCGTCCCACGCGCAAGACTTGCCCAGGAAAGCAGATAGTCAAGAGCAGCTCAGGATTTGGGTTCGGGTCCCCACCAGTTCTCTGCGTCCTCCGCTCCAGACCCTGTGGGCTTCCCGTCTCGCTCCGCTGTGGTCGTCTGCCCACCCTCTAGAGGAGGTTTCTCCATTCTCCCAGGGGCTTGAAGCCAGCCTTCCTCATGCAGGACGAGATGTGAGGACCCCCAACCCCCATGTTTAGCTAGCTGAAACTGCGCCGTCACAGCCACATTCCTTTGGGCTAAGGTCTAATTCCCCCGTGGGATGCACGTGTCTCCAGAAAGGGGCTTGCCCTTAGTGATTCACTAGCCGCTGCTGTGAACCTCCGCAGTAGCTCTCCCAGGACCCCAGTCTGCCAGTAAATCAGATGGAGACTGAGAGCAGAGAGGGAGCAACTCAGAACCCAAACTGTGATCTGCTGTGCTCCAGATGCCTGTGTGCTCTGGTCTCTGGACGATTTCAACCTGGTGTAGTGGAAACAGTTCGTTAGGAGGCAGAGGGGCAGATTCTGATCACGACCCTGCTATTTGCTGCCTGTGAGATTTTTGGGTAAGTCACCTCTCTGAGCCTTATTCTTCTCATGAACAAAAATGGGCATACTTCTGTAGGGAACAGCTGGCTCAACGTGTGTCAGAGAAGGCATACTCAGGACAGGTAGAGCTGTGTAAGTCCCAGCTTCAAAACAATTAGAAACTGAGTCACTTCACCTTTCTGAATCTCAGTTTTCTCCTCTGTAAAAGGGGTATTACAGTAATTGCCTCACTGTGTGGTTGTGGGAATTCAATGAGATGACATAGATCAAGGGTTTAGAAGAGTGTCTAACATCCTTATATAATAGGGATGGGCCTGTTAGTGTTGTAAGCATTTGCCCCTCATTCCCTCTCTTTCTGACTCACATGCACACGCAGACACATACACACACACACACACACACACACACACACACACACACACACAGATATTCTTTGGCATTTCTCCAAGTGAGAGTCCTACCTTTTCTCCTGCTTCCTCTTGCCTACCATCACTTTCCAGGGGACCTCCCTTCTCAGCATATAATCCCTGTAGTGCTCAGTTCTGTGTGTCTGTACCAACCTTGAAGGGTTCTGCGTCTACAACCATTCTACCCTGAAAGTGCTGATCTCATCTGAAGGATCCTTAGTGTCCTAGGCTCCTCTACAGCCATTCTTCATGTGATCATCATGATGGCTGGGGTACCGGACACAAGCCAGGCTGCCCTACAGAGAAGACTCTAAAGTATGGGGAAAAGGTGAAGGGACTTGCCTCAGAGCTGGGCCAGTGAGCAGTGGAGTTTGGATACAAAGCTGGATCTGAATGACCCCAGCTCTCCCTTGTCAAGAGAGCAGCCCTTAAAGAGAGCACCCTGCATCCTCGGCACTTCAGAGGGTTCCCACAGTTGAGGCCTCCCTCCCTATCAGTGTTCCATGTGCTGCAGAGACTGCCGCTTCTGGGTGTGCAGATGTTCACATTTGGGATTTGGCAGAGGAGCAGTAAGTTGGTCATCTTTACCTTTAGACTCAAAAGTAAACCCAGGCCTTGCTTGTCCTAACTTTTGTCACCACTAAGTCCACTGCTGTTGAGCATGTGCCTCCAACTGTGGCATTTGCTTATGAGCTCTTTAGTGAACACCTACTTAATAACCTCAGTTCCCACAGAATAAAAATATCAGGGAATGATAAGTATAAGGGAAACAATAAAACATGTGAGGGGCCGAAAGAAGAATATTCCAGGAAGAAGGAATGGGGCAAAGGCTGTGAGGCAGGGACGAGCCTGCTCCCTTTGGGGAACTGGGAGAAAGCTAGAATTGGGGAAGGAAAAGGAAGAAAAGATGGTAAATAGAGTCAGAGAGAGAGAGATTGTGCAATGCCAAGACATTCCTGGAGGCATTCAAAGTAGACAATTTTGAAACCTCACTCTGGCTGTGATGTATAGGACAGATTGTGAGGGGTCAGGGGAGAAGCTAGGAAACAACTGGGTCGGCCCTTCCTGTGGGCAGGCCCCTGGATCATGATTGCACCTGTCTGGGAGGTGTGTGGTTGTAGGGTCTTTTCTTCTAGGAAAGTAGTCACTGCTGATGAGGGGAGGGAATGTGGCAGATAAAGGGAGAGTCCAGAGGTCTTGACCTCCCGACATCACCATGTCACCAAGACTCCTGGTGTCATTCTCTGTGCCACTCTGGCCTGCTTAGTACCATGACATGGATCTCAGAGGACAGTAGACCCCCTCTCCCCTAGAGGAACTTCCTTCAGGGTGGAGCGTGCGGTAACAAAGCATGGCGTGGGCTCAGAGTACAGAACCAAAAAAGGCTTCAGGGAACCAAAGGCTTCGAAGAACCAACGAAGGCTTCTTGGAGGAGCTGATATCTAAACCAAGAGCAGCAGGATGCGGAGGTATTCAGCAGAAGACAAGAGGAGAGGAAGTGAAGGTTGAAACAGTGCAAAGGTACTCAGAGACCTAGGGGAAGAGGACCCAGTGAGAATGGAAGCTACAGAGCTGGCCGGAAGGCAGGTTCCTCAAGAGTCTGGGGCCCTTGATTCTCTTTTGATTCTAGATATGCTAATGTCAAACAGGTGTGACCTCTGCTTGCTTTTTTTGCTGGGATGGAGTGGAGACAAGGTCTCACTGTGTAGTTCAGACTGGCCTCAAAACTCAGAGCAGTCTTCCTGCCTCAGTCTCCCAAGTGCTGGGACTACAGACATGAAACATGACACTTAGTTGACATCTGTTTTTTAAATAACAGAACAAAATTTCCCATCCACATGAGCAGTACTGCTGTGGAACAGGGCCTGTTGGCCTCAAGGAGTCAAGGGAAAAGGTTTGAAAGATAACCATGAAGGCCCTTGAATGACCCAGCAAGAAAGGAGTTCACAGCAGCTATCATCAATTAAAAATCATCTAAAAGTCATTGCTAGGGATTTCTGACTGTCAAGGCACAACCCTCAAAGGCCATGCAAATACCTTTTTTCCCAAGCCTCCTTCACAGTGACAGCTCAACCTTCATAATTGAGCCCTCTCTGTGGGAGACCTAAGGACCTTACTATACGGAATTTAAGGACACAGACTCATGAGCCAGGCTTGCCTGGACCTGTCACTTAGCTGCCTTTATAATTATCCTCTCTGAGACTTAGTTTCCCTTCTACAAAATGAGAATGGTAATGATGGACCCAATAAGTCGTTGAGTTATTGTGAGAATTAAGTGAATTCATAGTTATAAAGTATTGAGAAGAATGTCTGGGCTCTGTACCTGGCACTCTCAGAGAATATATTTCATTTGATTCTCAGCGAAACTTGATATGGTTGTCATTAATCTCAGACAAGGGAACTCAGAGAGGTGAAGTGACTTATGCAAGGTCACACAGCAGGTAAGTAGAGAAGAGGGAGCAGTCAGATGTGGGTGACTCTGCAGTGGAGGGTGAGTGTCATGTGTCCCTCCTTGTTAATACTGTCTGTCCAGATTATACTTCTGTGTACTCTTTTGTGTGCCCAATTCCCAGCACAGAGCCAGACATGAGAAAACATTCAGTGATGTTGTGAATAAAATTGATGGGTTGGTTTGTGTATCCCCAGCAGCTGGCTCGGGACGGTCATCAGGGAGAAAGCCCAAGGACTCAGTCTTGCTGAGGGCTCTGTGGTTCCCTCACCCTCTTCCCTGGCTACTCGTAGAGCAAGTCCAGTGCCCCTGCACATACAGCCAGCGGCCTCAGTGAAAGTACACGGCTGGCAGCCCGAGCTAGGGGAAGTCCACAAACAGTGCTGGGGCCGGGCAGGTTCCCTGGTGGGGCTTCCTGTCAAGGCCCCGATCCCAGTCCTTGAACAATGGCAAGGGCTGGAGAATCAGAAAATCAAAAGAAAAAGGACAAAATAAGGAGGGTGAGAGTGGGGGCTGAGTGGAAGGCTGGCGGGGTGGGTAGAGCAGTGGAATAAAGAATTATATTTGGGGCTTAAGGGGCTGAGATAGGGGTCTTGCTGTTATGCAGAGCGAAGTGGAGGCAGAGGAACCTCTGCCCCACTATCTCTAGCCCTGAGCATGGCCCAGGGCAGTCCTCAGCCCTTCTGCCTCCTGCGCTTCCCCTCCAGGCTATTTCCTATCAGGTGAGGTCTTTTAAAAATCCACACCTGACTGAGGCATCACAGCTGTAAAACTCTGGCTTCCCCCAGACCCTTTGTGCAGCCCCATGTCCCACCTGCTCCCCGCCTCAGTATTCCAGGCCAGCTGTGGTCTGGGGCTCCTGGAAGGCAGGCAGACATGGGAGACGTGGGGCTGGCAGCAGGAAGGAGCCAGTGGTCACAAGTGTTTCCCTCTCATCCCGCCTCTACACAGAGCCATGAGCCATCAGATCCTGCTGTTCCTGGCCGTGCTGACTCCAGGCCTGGCAACCTCCCAACACCGAGAAAAGGTGGCCTGTAAGATGGTAAGATGCTCTGCAAGAGAGGGGAAGGGACATACCACACTACCCTTGTCCTGAGCTGTCCTACTGCCCCAGCCCCAGAAGCCAGAAGTTAGAGTAAGAGAGGAAACAGATTACCTTGTGTTTAATGAGCAACCACTAGAATGTTTAAATACCTTGTTTACCCAACAACCATACCGAGTAAGCTTTGCTATTCCCATTTTAAAAAGGTGGAAACTGAGGCTTAGAGAAGTAATTGATTTGTGCAAGATCATGTAGTTAAGAATAGTGAGTCCAACATTGAGCTGTATTCCCCTAAGCTTCCCCTACAGAAGAGAGGGCCCAGCTGGGGGAACTAGAATGGGTGAACTAGAATGTATTTAATGTAGAATGAGCTAACTGGGAGAGGTTCCTGTGTGCTTTCCTTCCTGGAGACAAATCCTCTTCCCCAACTGGGCTTTTTCACTTGGACCTGCCCCCTGGAATGCATCTCATTCATTACTGGTAGGTCAGTGAAGCCTCCTCCAGGAAGCCTCCCTGGATCCTTCCCAGTCTGGCTACTTTCTCTTCTAGGCTTCCGCCACTCCCTAACATTCCTTACCTCCATGCTGAGCACACTGGGTGACTTGTGAGTGGAATGAGCCTGTCTTGCCTTCCAGACCAGGAATTTTTCTAGAGCAGGGACCAATTTTGATTCCTGTTCGTTCATTTTCCCTGCTGCAAGCCAGGGAAATCTGGCCTTGAAGTTCTTTGGTACCTTGTCCGGTGCAGGGAAAAGATATCATTTGAGTCCACTTGTAAGGCTGACCAGCCCTCTAACAGCCCGCTTGGACACAAAATGGGTAACTGCCACTGGAGACCAGAGTCCTGGCAGGTGCCTAGCAGTCCTTTGTTTGGGCTTGTGAAACTGTGGCCACCACTCTTCCTTCTCCTATGAGTTGAGATTCTGAGAGAAAACCCAGAATGATTGGCAGAAAAGGCCTCAGACATAACCAAATACCAAAACACTTGGGGAATAGAGAGCAGCTGTATGAAGTGAGGGGCCTTGATCTAACAGACAGAGAGGAGCAGGGGCAGCCTTGATTCTTGGGGAAATGAGATCACAGGTAGGAAAGCACTCTGTGAAACAACACAGAAAGTATTGCAGGCAGGAGTAGAGAAGACATGTGCCACTGCCCCAGTCCAGGACAGAGTCAGAGCTGGAACTGATAGATCAGGGTTCTCCCCGAACTGTCCTTATAGTGCTCACTTCCAGATGCCTCCTCCTGCCCTGGCATGCTGTCCCACGTCCAGACAATACGTAGAGTTGGTGGCAAATCCCCCTCCTATGTAAGATGAGAGCTGGGTAGTGGCTGATGTTGCAGAGAGAGCAGGAAGGAACTCTAAAGCCCAGCCAGGGCCCTGGATGACCCCCATTAGTCAATCGCTGCTAGGAGCTTGGGTTTGGGGAACAGGGGGTAGCTGGCAATGGATCTAGTAGCTGCTTTGACCTTGAGGCTGCCTCCTACACTGGACTGGAGAAATGGGCATCCTACAGCAGCCCTTCCCATCAGCAGCTCTGGGACCTCTCTAGCTCAGGTCCTAGCATCTGAGCATGGCAAACCTCAGACTCTGGGCTGGGCCAGTTTTGTGGCCTGGATCGCTGTCAGGCTGGGACCATGTAGAGGGAATATGGGTGTGGATTTGCAGGTGAGGGGACACATGAAACACAGTACAGTGCCCCTCCACTGCCCTGTAAATGGTGTCCGGTGTTATAGCCTGTGTGCCTGACTAGCTGAGGGCTTAGTAGTCAGAACTCGACTTGCCCTGATGGGAACAGAAAGTGGCAGTGGTAGTGGTGGTGGTAGTGTGGAGCCTATGGCACTCTGACCTTGCACAATCACAGTTGCCTTAGGGAGGACATAGGGGAAGGGGATAGGAGCATTAAATAAGGTAAGGGATCTGTGTACTCAGCATGGAACCCACTGCAGGGCTGGACTTCCTCTTTTTGTCCTTTCTTCCTTAAATCAGGATGGTCTGGGGAGCTGAGGCTGGTGGTGAGGCTGTCTGGGACGCCAGTGAGCAGAGAAGTTCTAAGGGGGAAGAGGGCAAAGACTGGCAAGGTGGCCAGGGGAGGTTTCTGATTGATGTCGGGTCAGCTATGGGAGTATCCCTTGGGCTCCTGGGGCTTCAGCGAAGCCAATGTCCCATGAGTAACCAGGTTATCATGGTAGATATGCAGTAGGACGAGACACAGATACCCGAGGCTGGGCGATCCCATCTTCCACTCCTGCTCTCTAGGGCTTTGGAAAAAATGATAGAGCCAGGCCCCACAAGGAACCCCCAGGCTTCTTCTTTCTTGCTGGCTCAGCCTTGGGTTTCCTGTGACCTCATGCAGGTTGCTACCTCTTCAGGTCTCAGTCCCTTAATCTGGGAACTGGATAAGCTGCACTATTTTTGCTCTGATGCTGACTCTAATTACATCGCTCATCCCTTTCCTTTCCCTTCAAGAAGGTGATTGAGTCCAAGCCTCAGCCCTATGCACTAAATCTTAACACCATGCAAGTGTCTGCAGCTCTTGTCACAGTGGTGGGTAATACTCAGGAGCGTCACTGCTTGCAGGCCCTGTGGAGAGGATAGGTGACGGGGGTCACAAACAGCATTCGATGCCTTCCTGAGGTCCTGGACTCTATCCTGGGGGATAATAAGCACAAAAGAGTTTTTCAGCAGTTTTCAGGCATGACAGGTGGGTGAGTCAGAAGGAGTAAATGAGAACAGTAAATACAAATACAAACTATCAGCGCCATAGAAGGATCTCAGGATAGGGAACCAAGCGCTGCTGCTCACTGACTCTGGGTCACCCTGACTGATACACATGGCTTTGTTTCCTGGGAAATGAGACAATATTCAGTGCAAGGTTTTTCTTAGCTTGTCTTCACATGCATCTTGCCCATCTGTCTGCCTATTAGACCTTCACTGAGTCCCTCCCTTCTGCTCAGTGCTGTACTGGCAAAATAGGTCATCAGGCAAAATGGAGGAGAGTCTTGCATTCTGGGAGTTCATAAAAGCATCCACCCAACCCTTGAGGGGACCTAACTCTCCTAGAGTAGACTATCTGGCTGTACCCCTACTGCACCCATTAATGCTCGTTGCTCTTTCTGCCCTCCCCAGGTGGACAAGGAGGCCTTTTGCCAGGGCCTTGGCCTGCACCAGGTCCCTTCACTGCTCCCGTTGGACATCAAGACCCTTGACCTATCTGGAAACCAGCTGCGAAATGTCCTGGCCTCACCCTTGGGCTTCTACATTGCCCTTCGTCACCTGGACCTGAGCACTAATGAGATCAGCTTCCTGCAGCCAGGAGTCTTTCAGGCCCTGCCCCACCTGGAGAACCTCAACCTAGCCCACAACCGCCTGGCAGTGGGCACTGCACTGAGTGTTGGAGGTCTGGGTCCCCTGCCACATGTGACTTCCCTGGACCTATCTGGGAACAGCCTATACAGTGGCCTAGTGGAGCGGCTGCTAGGTGAAGCCCCCAGACTGCGCACACTCTCGCTGGCTGAAAACAGCCTGACCCGCCTGAGCCGTCACACCTTCTGGGGGCTGCCTGCGCTGGAGCAGCTGGACCTGCACAGCAACGTGCTGATGGACATTGAAGATGGTGCTTTTGAGGCTCTGCCCCACCTGGGCCATCTCAATCTCTCCCGTAATTCCCTCACCTGTATCTCTGACTTCAGCCTCCAGCAGCTGCGGGTACTTGACCTGAGCTGTAACAGTATTGAGGCCTTTCAGGTAGCCTCTGAGCCCCAGGCTGAATACCAGCTTGCCTGGCTGGACCTACGGGAAAATAAACTGCTCCATTTCCCTGACCTGGCTGCCCTCCCAAGACTCACCTACCTGAACATGTCCAACAACCTCATCCGCTTCCCCACAGGGCCGCTGCAAGGCAGTGATGGCATCCACATGCCTTCCGAGGACTGGTCAGCCTCTCCCCTCTTCAGCCCCAGCTGGAATGCCAGCACCAATGCCCTCTCCCTGCTCTCGAACCTGGATTTGAGCAACAATGAGATCGAGCTCATTCCAGACAGCTTTCTTAAGACTTTGACCTCTCTTCGCTTCCTGAACCTCAGCCGGAACTGTCTGCAGGCCTTCGGGGCCCAGCACATAGGCTCTCTGCCTTGCCTGGTGCTCCTGGACTTAAGCCACAATGTGCTGGAGGCCCTAGAGTTGGGTGCTAGAGCCCTGGCGTCCCTACAGATGCTGTTCCTACAGGACAATGCCCTACAGGACTTGCCACCATATACCTTTTCCAACCTGGCCAGTCTGCAGAGACTTAACCTGCAAGGAAACCGAGTCATCCCCTGTGGGGGGCCAGCAGAGCCCATCCTCCCAGGCTGTGTGGCTTTCTCTGGCATCCCCACCCTCCGTGTTCTGAACATGGCAGGTAACGAGGTGGAGATGCTCAGGGCAGGCGCCTTCCTCCACACCCCGCTCACTGAGCTGGACCTCTCTGCCAACCCTGGTCTTGAGGTAGCCACAGGAGCCCTGGCAGGCCTAGAGGCCTCCTTGGAGGTCCTTGCACTGCAGGGCAATGGACTGACTGTCCTGCAGGTGGACCTACCCTACTTTAGTTGCCTCAAGCGGCTCAATCTCTCTGAGAACCGCCTCAGCCACCTGCCTGCCTGGACACAGGCTGTATCACTGGAGGTGCTGGACCTGCGGAACAACAGTTTCAGCCTCTTACCAGGCAGTGCCATGGGTGGCCTGGAAACCAGTCTTCGGCGCCTCTACCTACAGGGGAATCCACTCAGCTGCTGTGGCAATGGCTGGCTGACAGCCCAACTGCACCAGGGCCGTGTGGATGTGGATGCCACCCAGGACCTGATCTGCCGCTTCGGCTCCCAGGCCGAAGTATCTCTGAGCCATGTGCGTCCCGAGGACTGTGAGGAAGGAGGACTCAAGAACATCAACCTTATTATCATCCTCACCTTCACACTGGCCTTGGCCACCCTCCTCACCACACTGGCTGCCTGTTGCTGTGTCCGCCGGCAGAAGTTTAACCAACAGTACAAAGCCTAAGGAAGCCAGGAGACCCTTCCAGGTCTGTGTAGGAGCAGGAGGCACAGAGGAGTGGGAACTGGCCTGTGTCCACAGAGTGAGCCAGAATCCCAGAACTCTGGTCTCTAAATCCCAGGCCAAGGCTCCTTTCTCTGCATCCTGCTGCATCAGTAGGTGGCCCACTTCCCAGGCTGTACATCTGGTCCAGCTGTGGAAGCCGGAAGTTGGATAAGCTCAGGGGCAGCAGATCAACAGAGTTTAACAAAGCATCTGTTTGGGGCCACACACTTCTTGGGGACACTACCAAATGAAACACATGCCTGCCCTCTGGTAGGGGAGGTTGTCACAGTGCTGGGCAGTGTGCACAGTGTGATGGGGCAGAGGTAGGAAAGCTTGGAACGCCAGTGCTTTGCAGCCCCATGGGTTCTGTATGGAGAGTCCTGCCTTGGCCATGCCAGGGAAAGAGAGGACCAAACCCAAGAGGATTTTTCTGAGACATTTTGAAGCAGGCTGTTTTGTCACATCTTCTAATAATGCCCTCCAGCCTTTCTGGAAAATGACGAGCTTGTGGTTGGAAGACAGAACAAGAGCGTCATGAGTATGTCTTGGGTCCAGTGCTGTTTGGGAGGCTACCGCAGACCCAACAGGACCTGGTTAAGAGGTGGTCACTCTGGGCTATTGTCCAGTGGTGGGCCATTGTTTCCTGCTTCTGACAGGACCTTTCCCACCCTGGCACTCTCCCGTTGCACTCACTGACCCCCATACTGCCTGAACCCCTCCCCCACCCAGGCTCAACCTCTCCATCCAGCCCCACCCCAGCTGCTGAGCCAAGGGCTACAACCAGTTTGTATCTGGTTCTGGTTTGCAACCAGCTTGGCAGCTGCAGATGCAAATCCAAGCCTTGTGGCTGCCTCTGTGTGACAAATCTTGGACGTTGGTATTTTACCTCTGGTTTATAAAGAGGAAAACAAAGCACCAGAAGTCTCCCTTTAGGGTCTCACAGCTAAAACGCCATAGCTGAGATTCAGCCCCACATCTTCCTGTTTCCAGGGTCTGATTTTGCTGCTGCTGGAGCCACAAGCTGTTAGGCAGACAGGAAGTGGCCCCATGTCACCTGCCCAGGGCCTGAGCTTCCTGTGCCATGCACACCTACTTTCTTTCCAGGCAGCTGCAGGTCCTCTACTCTTTCTCAGCCTCAATTTCCCTTGTCCCCTCATTTGTGGACTGCTGTGTATTCTCCTTTTTCTCTTCTACTCCCTGCATTCTTGCATTCCATCTCCCTCCACTGAGCGTATCCTGGAGTTAGAGATCATCAAGTCCAACCTTTCCACTGCACAGATAGGGAAACTGAGTAAAGAATAGAAACTGCTTACATCTGCTTAATTCAATGGCAGAGTCTGTGGGGGAAAAAAAAGAACAGATTCTAGCCTCATTGGGGTGAAATTGGTTGTAGGCCTTCTCTCAACTACCACGTAACAAGACAGTGTTGGTTGCAGACTTTCTTTTTGTTCCTCATCTTGCAGAGATTTTTTTTTGCCTCCTAAGAAATTAGGCAGAAAGATCCACTCAGATAAACCCTTCTCACTCATAGAATGGGGTCATGAGCTGTCTGAGAAGAAAAGAAACCCCAGGACCAACCAAAGACCCTGTTCTTGTCCTCAGCATCTTGTCCTTAGCATCTTGTCCTCAGCATCACATCACAGGCATTTGGTAAAGTACGAGAAAATGAAACTGAGACCCAGAGAAGAGTAAGGGCTCACGGAGCTGATGGTCAGAGTCAAGGTAAAACCCTCACCTGGCCGCTGGTGGTGTGAAGGCAGTTGGATGGCTCAGTCCTGGCTAATCAATCACAGGTGCTACTGCATACAACAGTCTTCCTCAGGCTCAGAGCCAATGTGCTGGCCCCTGTGCTTCATCTAAGAAAACACTACTACATGCTGCTATCACCTTGCAGGTCTTGGGACCAGCTCATTGTATAACCCACATGAATGTATTAAAGTATAATTTTGGAGAAATAGTGTGTTCTGCCAGTCTCTTTGCTGTGGGTATGCTTGAACCCTGAGCTTTGCCACTTCCTGTAGGATCTTTCAGCCCTCATTAAAGGGTCTGGAAGACACTGAGGCTCGAGGCCATCACCACCTTGGACCTTGGGCCTTCAGCCTCCATCATGGCTATGCACAGACCTGCTTAGAATCCCACTGCTTCCCACCCCCACACTGAGAGACTGGTTACTTTCCTTCATTCCCTTCCTTATGCAGCTACATGTTCCCTCCCTTTCTCTATGCTAGCCCTCTCTTCCCCTTCTTAGGGGGTTGAAGTCTTGCCCATCTTAAAAACAGCAAAAAGACCCTTACACCCTGTACCCCTTCCTCATCCTTCTCTTCATAGGCAAACTTTCCTGCCCCTCCCAGGATGCCCTTGCTAAGGTCTCTGCTGTCTCCTTTTCCAAGCTCAGAGAACATTTCAGACCTCATCTCGACCCTGGGCAGCAGAGCTCCTCGCCTATGACTTCCCTGATATCTGTGACCTCATCTATGAAGCTGTCTCCTCTTTCCCAGGCCACTCCTTTTCTGGCCCCTCTACATGTTCCTCTTTATTGAGCCATCTCTAAATCATGACTTCCAGCACTGCTTTTAACTGTAGCCACCCTATTGCTCCAACTACAAGGCCCATGTCTGTCTCCATTCTCACCTGTCCTGATAATCCAACCCTGTACCCTGCAAGCTCAAGGTCTGCAAGAGGCCTAGAGAATTCAAGAAGAACGTAGGTTACAGATCCAGACTGAACTTGGAAAATGAGAATTACTGGTTCTAGGATGGCAGCTGGAGAGTGGCAGGAGCTGCCTCCTTGGGGAGGAGGTGAGTGGGGGCAGTGTGAGTACTAAGAAGCAGACCCAAGAGCCTGGCAGGATCTGGAGGCCAGACAGTAATCCTCCTCTAAATCTCCCCTGTCCCATTCTGCACCGCCAGGAGCTTTTCCTTCTCAGCAACCTGAACCCTAGTCCCAGCCTCTGCAGAAGTCAACCTTCTTCCCCCATCTGCCTCTCTCTAAGGCCCAGCTCAGTGATCCTCCTACTCCCTCCACTGTCCTGAGTCCCTTCCCTCAGGCCTGCCACATGCCACTGCTCTGCCTTCTGGAGAGCAGCTCTCCAGCCCACTTCCCTGGCCTGTAATTCTCCTCTTCCAGTTCCTGCTCCCAGCTCCCACTTTCCAAAGAAAGATTTTACATACCTATTTCCCGGGGTGGTATTGAGGGGATAAGAGGAGGTGTAACAACCTGTGGCACATAGTAGGTGTTCAGTGAAAACCTAGGGGTAGCACAGGTTGATTCCTAGGGTGTTTGGACCTCCCACCCAGCTGGGAGCCCACCAGGCCCCTGATCCTTTTTCCTGGCAAACAGGCAAGTTTGCTCACCTGGCCGAGACCCCTCAGTGAGTCAGAAATTCCTGTTTTCAGCCAAACATGGACACAGCTGCCAACTAGGTCATCAGAGCATCCGGCTTCCCAAGCTTTCAGCAAGTTCCAAGGAGAAGGGAGTCCTTGTGTACCCCATATAGCAGACTACCCCGAGGTGCCATCACTTAGCTCCTTCATTCAGTGAGGTATGATGGCTCCCCATGTACCCAGCCCCCATGCCACACATCCCCCAGGACCTAGGATGTGATGTCTGCTCCCTGTGCCCCTGGGCAGTTCACAGGTCCCTGCTGACCTCCAGCCCCATCTCTCTCTGCTTCGCCCACAGGACGCTCAGAGGGACAATTACTAAGTTTGTCAGAGAAGTCTCCTGTGCTGAGTATTTGATGTACGTTGTCCTGTTAATTCTGATAAACCTAGAAGAGATCAACTCATTTTAGAGAAACTGAGAGTCCAGAGCTGAGACTTGAACTCAGGCTCCTGGTTGTCCATTAGGTGGCACTGCCTCCTGACCCCAATACCAGGCTATCCCCTGAGCTGCCCCTCAGCACATCTTGCCCACCTGCCAATTCATTCTGCTACCCTCGCCTGCACCTGCCCGGATGAGATCACCTCCTAGAGAGACTGTGTGCATTTCCCTCCTCCAGTCGCCTGCAGCCCCAGGCCACCCTAGCCACTGTACTAGAGTGTCTGCTTGGTTTGCATCAGAACCTCGAAAGGGAGGTTCAAACTGGAATTCTCTATGTGTCCCCAAGAACTATGAGCCAGCCCAGGCAAGGAGTTCAGATAAGATTTACTGAATAAACATCCCCTGCCTTCCAGGACTTCATAAACCCCTGGGATTAAGACCAGACCTCAGACAGACCCAGGAGACACACAGGGGCTCGCTGGGTGTGGGCTGCTCAAGGACCCAGCAGCTGGTGGGAAAGCAAAACAGGAAAACTCTCTGACCACCTTCCATTCTCCTCGGGCCTCTAGAACCCTGTCTTATCTTCAACCTTCCCCTCCCTCTGGCCTTCCTTTGCTCTTCTCTCCTTTCTCTCCCTGATCATTTCCCCCACTCTCACCCCGTATCTCACTGGAAACACTTGTGGCTGAGAACCGGGAGGGCCCGAGCTGTTTATAGGAACTGGAGCAGTTCCATCCATCAGCTCTGTTTAGAGCTTGAGACCAAGCATAATAAATACCTTGGCTCCACCCCAGCTGTGCTGAATTTGACCATCCAAACTCAAAAGCTCTTTGGCCTGCTGGTTCTCAGGACCCAGCTCCCACCTCACCCCATCTACCCTCATCTCCCACTGGGCTTCTCTGGAATGAGCTCTGCCTCTGTACCAGAAAATCAGCACCAAGTCTAGCTTCTGCCATTTTGCTCTGATAGCAAGGGTAACTCGGCCTCTTATTTCTGCCCCCCACCCATTTCCCTATCTGTAAAATGGGATAATCACTATTGCCCCACCCCCAACTCATGGCATTGTTCACTGTCAGGCCAGAATAGCTTGAGGATCAATGTGGTGCTGGGTTCTGGGCCTGCAGGACATAGAAAACATTGGCTAAAGCCTCTGCCTGGGCAGTCGAGAGAAAAGGGGTCCATGCCACAGCGCAAGCTAGGAAGTGGTTACCCGAATGAGGTCCAGATTTAGAGCTTGGGAAGTTTGCTTGCAGCCAGGAGCAGTCCTTGCAGCTGGAGAGGTGAGAGAGATTTGGAGGAGGACATGTGGGATGTCTACAGAAGGGATGGAGAGATCCAGGCAGAGTAGGGGGCTTGAGCAAAGACAGGCAGTGTGACATCCTGGGAATCATAGGGAATAGGAGCTTTGAGCTACCATCTTCTGCTTTGTGCTCCCCAATCCTCCACATCTTTTGCCCAGATTCTCCAGCCTCTTGGAATGTTCCCTCCTTGCCTGGAGTGCCTCCAACTCACCCAGTGGATGCGTTCCCAGAACTCTGTCGTCACATCCCCACTTTCTCCCAAAAAAAGGCCACCTCCAAAGTGGAAGACTCAGATCAAGAAAAGCCATTGGCCCATATCACATGTTTCTGGAATGAATAAGGGAATAAATGAATAAAGGAGTGAATAAAAGAGTGAGTCAAGGAAAGACAGAAGTGAGTAGTAAGTTACTAAAAGCACCCAACGCATCCTGAACCCCGCCAGGGGCCACCCTGGATGCTATACACACGAGAGATCTCCCCTGGAGCACTTACAGCGTATTGAAGAGCTACACATCAAACATTCAAGCAAATAAAACAATGCCAAATTACAATGAGTGTTACAACAGGAAGTACCAAGGAGAAGCCTGAAAAGGGTCAGGAGTGAGGCAGTGAAGCAAACTTTCTGAGAAGCTGATCTTTAAGCTGAGCCTGAGGAGGACATGAATTAGACAGCAGGAGAATCAGTATTCCCACAGGCTCTTTCCAGCAGCTTGCCAAAAGGTCCAGGAAGATCAGGGACTGAATTCTAGCCACACACCAAAGGCAGCTCCCACCCCTCAGTCCATGCTCCCCATTCTGGAGTCATGGAGAGAGCCACGAAAGGCCACATGCAGTGTAGCGAAAGTGTGGCCAAGGGGACGAAGGTCAAGCATTGCTGAGGTGAGGCAGGCTAGGTGAGAAAGCTCAATGCAAGGGCCCTGCCTTTATTATTATTTTGTTGTTGTTGTTGTTGTTGGGTCTTGGTGGAGGCTGGGTTGGACTCTTTCTATCCACCAGCATCACTTACATGGCAGCCTTTTTCCTCCCTGTTCACCCCTTATTTACAGTCTGTATCTAACCTCTCTTGTGCTAATTTCAGTATCAAGTATACATAGGCATGTACTGTATTAGGGTATTTTTTTTTTTTACTTCTTTTTTTTATCGGTACCGAGGATCGAACTCACGACCGCCTGCTTGCAAAGCAGGTGCTTATGCCGCTGAGCTAAATCCCCAGCCCTTGTATTAGGGTATTTTGATCACTGTTTTATAAAAAAAGATTGTATTCTATATGCTTTCCTATATTTTGTTTTTATTATTTAATAATAACTCAAAGATACCCTCAAATAAGCTGGTTCAGTTCTGTTTTATTTCTGACAGGAAATAACTTTTTATAGTGTTAATATGTTGATTAACTCAACCACTCGCCTATTGATGGCTTTGTCCCCTTTTCTCACAACTCTGAACATGCTACAAAAAAAAAAAAACCTTTCATATACCTATTATCTCTGAGGGCTGTGTCTCTGTGAGATAAACATATAGAAATGAAATTATATATATAGACATATATGTATGTGATGTAATATATATAATTTTAATAAAACTTGCTTTTCAAAAGGGTATAATGTTTCACGCTGTATAAAAGTTCTTTTCTTGTGTTTATCTGCTAGAAATACAATTTTGAACTCTGAGTATAAGTGGTCTCTCATTGTTTCAAATCCTACTGCTGGATATGAATAGCTTTTTATCCATTTGTTTACCTTTAGGATTAACTCTTCCATGAATTGTCCATGTTGTCCTTCATCTGTTTTCCTATAGAGTTAACTTTTCCTTGTCAATATGTAAAACCGTGCTGTATATTGTAAATAATAAACACTGGCTAGCTGTGGTGGATTGACAACTAGTGGGCAACTTGT